GATAAATGACTCAGTTGTAGACAACTGCTGCCAGAGAAACGGTCAATCAAGATGTTCCAACAACTCAATGCAGTAATGGAAGACTGGTTATGCAAGTGTTGACCTCTGTGGCACTACAAAAAAATGCTTGTTAGACACATTTTATGATGCCTATCACTGGCTTTTCTCTAAACAGAAAAAAGGGACTCTGCTGTGTACCCCTGATGTTCTCAGAACTGTGATAGTGAAGGGATGTAGATGTTCATTATTTTAGTTTGGCCACCCAGAACATATTTGAAACTGGTGTTATCAAAATTCTGGCAGATGAATAACTATCAGTGTCCAAACAGCAATCTAGAAAAAATTTGCTCTGATGGCCTCACTTATGAGAATTCAAATTTTGAAAAACTGGATTGTCATGAGGTTTTTTTTCCCCAGTAAGTAATTAATGGCATAGAACTCTTCTCTCTAGAGCATTTGACAGTGTGAAGAGCCTTTTCCACATATTGGTGCTCTAAGCAGACCAGGACAAAATCATCACTAATTCAACTCCATTAAACATCCAAGGTGAATTTGGCCTGTTGAGTATAATGCTACTAAATGCACAAAGATATACAAGTGCTTTTAAGTGATTGGGAAGACACCTACATGCCCACTATCCCCCTTGGACAATCTTAGTCTTCCTTACATGGATTTTGCAGGGTTTGATTAATGGATTTAGATCTGTTGAATTTAAGAGATTGTTTCCAGTCTATGTTTAAATGTGACTGTTATAGTCTTTTGAAGCTATAGACTATTCAGTCTTTTGAAGCTATTATGTTCAGTTTTATTAATTATGTTTCCTTTACTTTTTAGCACAACAGTGTTCCTGTTTTATAATTTGATAAATTGATATTTTATTATTTTTGGCTGCAAGCCTGTTGCTGCCGGTGAGATGATATGGTAGACCCTGGATGCAGTTCAAGCTTTCAAATTTTAAATTACACTAAGATAAAATAATATATTATTTTATTTATAGGAAGGGACAATAGTTCTGTTATGGCCTAGTGGAGGTAACTGTATATCAGGAAAGCACTAAACTAGCAGAGAATTTACTGCTGATGGACACATTATGAACTGCATAGCAACTGGTTTCTGAAGAAGACATTTGCAGCATGTTATTTAGTGTTTATCATTAAGAAGAGTGATGAGGTTAGTTAACAGGAGTCACGTCCATTTCACCATCACTTTTGTTAACATAGGATAGTCTGTGGTTGTGTACTGCTAATCAAAGCCCATTACCTGCAGATTAAAGGCGTAAAACATCAGCTTAAAACAATACTGTGTAAACAATCACATTTCTTTTCCCATCTTATTAATATCACTTTTAACTATTAAAATATTTTTAAAAATATTTACTTTTTATTATGTTTACATTTTGTATTTCAGCTTGGACAATTCAATCAGTTTCACTTTTGTTTAGAGTTAGTTTCACTTTCAAGTCTGGGTGGCAAAAAAAGTTAGTTGCACAGGAATGGGTAGAATTTTAATAACTGTTTAAGTCGGAACTGAAAAGAAACAAATATGGAAAAAATTCTATTGATTAAAGAATTTGCAAACACTTATTTTTTCAAAAAAAATCTAGCATGCCATTTGATCTATGGCCTTCATTAAAACTGATCAGAAACAAATTTTGGTACTTTTCTCAGGGGGGCAAAGGATTTCTGAAAATAGATGCACTCTCCTGAAAGCCCACCTAGTGGCTGATAAATAGCCTTCTTTAGTGGAAGCAACAAAGAGGATGATTGTCTTGTAAATACAGTTTTGAATAAATCCCTGTTAAAGAGCTATTAAGAAGGAAAGCATGGCAAAAAAAATCTCAGTAAAGTGGGCTGTTTGTGCAAATAAGAGGCAAGCACAGCCCATCTGTCCCAGATCATAATGATGATTTACAGAAACTCAGTTCAGAATCAGAATTTCCCTTCAGTCTTTAATGGCCAGAGAGAAGCAGCAGTTAGTTTATGCAGACATGTTTGGAAGAGGAAGTTTGTACCGGCAATTTGAGTAAGAGGAAATGAAGAGTGTAATTCAAATTAACCAACCTTTGATTTTTTTTTTAATGGATTGTGTGCATTAACTTTTTTGTTTTGGTTCCCATAGAAATGTGAAGTGCTATGAAAGACCACTCTTACATGGACACAGAGATCATATTACTAAAGAAGCAAAATATGGCTCCACATAGACACAAGAACAAAAAAGCCTTTGCTGCAGAGCTCACCAAGTTGCTTTTACTTGCCTGGATTTTGGTGGGCCCGTCACATTTATAGGAAACATTAAGGCGATAAATGTACCTGGAATACAGGTCCAGTGGGCGACAGTCCAGAATATTAACATCATTATTTCTAATAAAATGAGCGTGCTGGCTGGTCCATAGGAAATACATTGATTTGTTCTTTTTGTATCTTGTTACAATATCACACATTTAGGATGTAAGCATACTGGTGTGTCAGAACAGGCAAGAAACATGGGAGGTTAGATTTACTTGAGAAAAACTGTATTTTCACTTGCAAGAAACATTGTGTGTAGAGGATAACACTAAATTGGTCCTGGCAGAAGGAAGGTGGACTATATCCAGTGTTCTAGAACTCTCCTTTGATCTGCACCACATTTAACAGCAAAATTATCGTTCAGATCACTTCCTTATTTGTAAACACACATATATTTAGAAAATGCAACCCCTTATTTGGAAGAGCAATACTGGCCAGGTCATAGACTTAACTCCCCTTTAGTACTGCCCAGCAACTGGCATTGAGGACTCCACTTGTGATCTATGGACCTGAAACAGCCTGGACTAAATGAATTGGGAGCAGGACTATCCTGTGGCAGCTGTGGGCTGCACACATACCGCGCGGCATTAAGTTGTGGCCACGAGGCTTCTGTCCGCTGCCGCACCCCCAGTTTGGGTCAGGGACCGGAGTGCCTGCGCAGCGCAGGCCCGTACCTCGCCGTAGCGTGGCCTGTCGGCATTCAGCCCCACTGGTGCAGCCCACAGGGTGTTCAGCCCCATCACTTAGAAGCTGGAAAGAGAAAGCCCTGCAGAGGGTAGAACCGCATCCCAGGCAGGATCAGCTCCCGCACGAATCTGGGGGGGGGCTTCAAGAGCCCATCCTGCACCGAGACAAAAATCAAGCACATTTCAGATCATCCCAAGAAGCCAGTTCACAAAAGCCTCTGGGGAAGTGCACCCCGGGCGGGCCCTGCCCCTCTGGAGGTTGCCTCGCACATCCGCCCTTCACCATCCCTGCTGCAGCCCAGGCTGGTTTCTTCCGTGCTCCCGAAAAGCCGGCGATTGCTAGGTTGGTAACGCGGGTCCGGCTCAGACCCGCCTGGCTGCGGCCTAATCCCCTCATGCTCCCTGCTAGCCCGGCTCCCCGCCTGCCCCGGGCTCAGTGTAAGGCGCGAGGCAAGACCCCCCCCCTCCGCAGGGCGCAGCGGGGCGCTGTCCGCCCCCACCCCGGCAGCACGTGGGACCGGGGCGCGTGCCCCCACGTGCGCGGCGCTGCTCGGGCCGCAGCTCCACACCCGCCTCGGCAGCACTCGCCGCCTTTGTGTCCCGCAGCACCCGGCAGCCCTCAGCCGTTCCGCCAGCCGCGCCTCTATTGGTCGCCGCGCTTGTGACGTAGGAAGGGCGGAGCCCCAGGCCGAGAGGTGCCGGTTGGAGCCGGTGCGCCCCTGCCCTGCCCTTGCCCCTACCCCTGCGCCCCGGACGAGGCGGGACCCGCAGGGGGCGCGGGGCGGCCTGGACACAGGTGAGCGGGGCGGGGGGCGATCGCACGTGCCCCGCCCTTACCTGCGACGGGAGCGAAACGGCTGAGGGGAGCTCGAAGGCGCCGCCCCCTCCCCCCACGCCCGGCCTCGGGCCCACGCGTCGCATTGCGCTCCCGCCCGCGAGGCCGCGACCTCGAGTGACCCCGGAGCCCGCAGGTGACCTCGGGCGGGCCCCAAGGAGCTGGTCCGCGCCCTGCCTGGCTGCGGCTGGGACTTTGGCACTGCAGTGTCTCGGCAGCCCTGGAAGCAGGGCCCAGGCGGGCTCCCGAGCAGGTGCGTCGAGCCTGCTGTGCAATACAAGGAAGGAGTGCAAAAGGACAGGCTGTCGCAGCTGACTGTCCTGCAGCTGGATTTAGGTGGCGGGGAGCTTATTTTTCTAAATTGCCTTGATTCTGGGCGCTTTCCGAACACCGGTTGGAAAGTTTTGATTACTCGAATCATTTGGTTTAACTGAATCTGTTCTGACACATTTTAATTGGGATGCCATGGAGCACGCCTATCGGCAGCCTTGGGTGGCGGCTGCTGCTAGAGACGCATGGCTACGCTGGACAGTTGAGTAGTTTTGAGAAAAGGTCAATGGTTGCGATGCGTTACAAACCCAATGTGGGACTTGTAAAGGTCTTTACAGGGTGCCCTGTTATTCCTCTGGGTTCAATGCCTTTTATAATATTGAAGTTTACATTTGTGTTTACAATAACCTAATTTGACTGAACCTGCCGCTGAGAATGCTCCTTCAAAAAGACAGGGGCCAGATTTTTAAAGGTATTCGGGTACCTAACTCCCACTGATCTCCGTGAAATAGCTGCAGAAACAATCTTGTTCAAAAGTTGTCTGCAAAGTAATATGTCCTTTGCTCATTTATAAAAAGGAAATATAGGCCAAAAACACACCATAATGAACAAACACCGTCTAAAACCTGTTGGAAATGGATAGATTAACAGAAACCTACTTTGTCCTGCTGTGTTAGTGTTTTTCTATTATAAAATGACATTCCCATTCCTCTGGTGCCATTTGAATTTAAGTCTGTTCACAGCCTCTTTGTATGATACATGTTCTGTTAAATCATCAGGCCTATCTACAGCTGTGGCTCTATTTAGAGGGGAAGAGATTTTTTTCATAACTGTTTCAGGTAGTAGCTGTGGAAATGGGAGGAGATGAGTTCTATTATTTTATAACTTATTTTTCCTGTCTTTTATTTTTCTTTCGTTCTTACCTAATCTACTCCATCCAGCCTACAAATCTTTTCCTTCTCAAAATCTGTCTTCTTCAATGAAGGGAGGATTTGGAGAACTTGGGAAGAAGACACCAACACATCCTTTCCTTGGGCCTTAGAGGGAAAAGTAAAGGTATTCTTGACTTTCTGTCACTTTCCATCTCTCCAGGAAGTCATGATGCCTGTAAGGATGAAAATAATTACATTACAGAAACTTCCATCAATATATGAACACTGAAAAATAAGTTCTTTTTTGTAGAGTTGCTGGAGTGGGATCACCAAAGTAGCATTTTGGTGGGTACCTTAATATACCAGCTGCCAAAGTCAACTACTTTTATTACTCCAGTATATAATCAGACCTGCCAAATGTCACACGTTTGCAAATACATACAGACAGAAAAACCTTCCCCCAGAAAATACCTTGTGGTCTATGGAAAAATACATTGGGTTGGGAATCTGGAGATCATGAGTTCTAGGCTTGCCTCTTTTGCAGAATATGAATAATATTTCTGCAATTTTCGACTTTTAAGATTAAGCAAGGCCTTATGCCCCTACCTAAGATTAGAATTTAATTCTCTAACTTACAATTCAAAGGGCTCTGCACCTCCATTCCAAATTTTTTAGGGCTCACAAATGAAAAAAAGTTGAAAATCACTGCTTTAAACAAGTGGCTATCTCCTGTTCTTTGACAGCATTTTTAAGACCTTTGTCTGTGTAGACTTGTGCTTGTATAGTAGGAATAGATTATTATCCTACCAACTGATAGAAGTTTGTGCTGGGGATCTGATGATGTTGGGTTTAGATGTAATGGACAGTTCCTATGAAGAAAAGACGTACATGCAAGGAGTAAAATCAAGGTTTAATGGATAACTCATTCTTGCTTGTCTTTACTTTGAAGCACTAGGATGAGTTTTCTTTTAATATAGTAGCTTTGCATGCAATGCGTTTATCTGAGATACTTAAATTGCTAATAAGGTTCAGATCTTTACATCAGTTTGATTCAGCTCAGTAAGAATTGTGTTGTCTATTGCATTTAATAAGTGTGTTACCCACATAGGAGGAGTTTGCACATCAGAAACTAGCCGCTATGTTTTGCACTAGTTCTCAAACTTAGCATGGAAGCAAAGACCTATGTAGGTTGCAGAGAATGAACTGTCCCTGGTACTTCATAAGGAGGCCTCTTTTCCCCAGTCAAGTTTGAAATATTTTAGTAGGGAAGTTAATGTGGATAGTTTGCCCTACTGCTGTCCCATAGATAAGCAGATGACTTTTCATTCATATGGAATATTTTTAATAAATTTCAAATCCCATTGTCTTTTAAGAAATGCAGGTTTCTGTAAACTAATTTATCATTAAATATCTTACATAAGACAGTAGTACTGAAGTGATGTTGTAGCCATGGTAGTCCAGGAAAAATGCAGGAGGCAATGATTTTCGTAGATGACTTTTTTTTTTTTTTGACCAACTGTGTAAGTGATAGGGAGATGGAGTATTTGGTTCTTTGGTATCCAAAAGCTTGTCTT